TTTTTTTTTTTTTTTTTTTTTTTTTTTTTTTTTTTTTTTTCAAGGTACTTTTTACAGGTTGGTTTGTTGTTTTTGGTTCTTTTCTATGTCAAGCACCCATCGCCCCTTTACAAATAAAACGTTTTAAGAACCAGGGGCTGTCCCAGAGCTCGGGATGTGGCTCTGCCTCTTTGTGACGGAGCTGCTGACCGCTCCCGCCTCGCGCAGGGACGCCTGTGGTGGGTTCCACCAGCACGTGAAAGCTCTGCCGGTACCCGAGCCGCGTTTCCATCCCGGTGAGGCACCGAATGAGGGTGGATGCGCCCGGTCTCTCGCTTTGGCCAGGCTCTTTGTTTGGTCTCGGATGGGCTCCGCGTCATCCCTTAACGCCTGCGGTGGAAAAAAAATGTACAATCGTGGCTTAAAATCTGTCTCATCCTCGGATGCTGTTGTCCCACAGAGCCCAAGTAACTGAGCAGGATGTTTGGAGGAGTGATTTGGGGGTGAAACCCGCTCTCCTGAGTCCCTGCCTCGTCCCTTTGAAGTGAGATCTCCGATTCTGACGCTTGCAGCCACCTTAGAGCTGAGATTGTGGGGATATTGTTAAGGGAGGGGGGGCAATAAAATGAGGGTGAAGCCGTCCGGCTGGGAGAGGAGGTGGAGCAGATGTGATCCCCGGAACCCTCCTGCCTCTCCTCAAATGAATTCAGCGTCTCGGCGCCGGCCAGACCATTAATTGGGGAAGTGTAAAAGTGGAGCCTGCGGCTGGAGAGTTTGACACCTTCCACGGCAGCTGGAAGGTGTGAGGAGGGAGGGGGCTTGGCTCCCGGCAGAGCCCCTTCAGGGAGGCAGAAGGAAGAGTTGGAGGCGAGGAGAGAGGTGTTGGCTTTCTCCAGACAAAGCTTTAAATCCAGGTGATTTAAAGACAAAAAAAAAAAAACAACCTACCCCGGGGTAGTTTGTGGCTTTATGGGGGGGATGAGTGGGGACCATTGTGATTCCTGGAAGGCTGCCGTGGCTCTTCAGAGCTCTACAGAGCTCTCAGCCTTGATTTTTACTCTCTGCTGGTTTATTTCTGTTCTATTTTAACGTCCTAGGGCTTAAACTGACCTTTAGCTCCCGTCTCTGTTCACCCTGGCGGACCGGGGAGGAGGAATGGTGCCGTGATTTCCCTCTTTTGGCGTCACGGGGAGGTTCGGTAAGTGACATCTGGAGAAATTCAGATGGTGGAAGGTTGGGGAAATAGCAGAGCTGACCTACGAGCTTTATTTCTTCGCTGCTGATGTTGCCTTTGGCACGTGAGTGGCCGCTGAAGGATCCGTGAGATGAAGTGGAAGAGCTTTGCGCTTACTGCAGCTGCTCCAGGATCCTCCGTTATCGGAGGCAGAAAAGTAATGGCTGGGCTGCGTTTTGCTTTTACCACTGATGTGGCTCCTTGAGTAGCCATCCTTGCCCAAATCCAGGCTTTTTGGGGACGCTTCAGGACTATTCGAGGAGATTTGGGGCTCGCTGTGTTGCCGGCAGTTTCCAGGACCGCTCCTAGGTCTAAGTGGTTTGGGGGGGTTTGGTCCTGACTAGGCTGAGCACCCACGGAGGGGGAGTATTGTTGCGCTCAGCCCGACTTTAACCCCAGCTGCTGAGCTGCTGTGAAGGTTCCCAGGTTTATACGGTCTTGGACTTCCCCCTCCAAGGGGACACCGATGTCTGGAGGAGGAAACGGAATTTGTGGAGGGTTTTCCAGCAGACCTGGAGGCACCGGGGTGCTCGCTGAACCTCTTGTGATTTCATTAAACCGCTCATGGGCCTCGGCTCTCTCTGGCCTGAGCCCTCTGCTCCAGAGCCCGCCACAATCCCATCGGTTCCGTCTCCCTCTGAGGAACGTGCCTGGCAGTTCCCGCTGGATCGTGGCCAGTCTGGAGCTGCTCCACCGCCCGCTGCTCCGGCGGTGGAATTACGGGCAGAGCCCAACGCCAACATCGTCGTCTCGCTGCGGGTAGCGAGGAGGTGGGGGAGCAGGATCCTCGCTGGACCGGCTGCGGCTGGTGGATGAAGTGAGGTCACGGCGCTGTTGGGCTCCGGTTCCTCCACCTGGGCTGGGAGGAAAACGAGAAGTGGCTTCACAGCGGCTGCCTGAGGGAGCAGAGCTGAAACGGGGGGAGAAAACTGGGCTCGGGTTTAAACGAGCACTAAATCGTTGCCGGTTACGAGGCCCGAAGCTGCGAGGGGCTTGGCTGCCTGCTCCTGAGCTGGGCTGTCGGTGTTTTTCTGAAGAGGGGAGCGTGTTTTAAAGCACACCTAAAGTTTGTGCCGCCGTGCCCGTGCGGTTTGCCTTTGTCACCTTTCGGCACGTGTGGCTGAGGTGGATATTTTCAGTCCCCTGTTGCAGCTGATGGCTGTAGAGAACGCGGCAGAGAAAAGCCTCTCTGAAGCTGAACGAGTCTTAAAAGCAGCAGCAGCGCTGCGGGGTTTGGTTTGAGGTGGGTGGGGAGTGGCCTGGACCCTGTTTTGGGGCGCGTGGACGTTACGTGGGGGGTGTTGGTCTCGATGCTGGGCTGGCCGGCGGATGACAGAGGATTCTGGTGCCAAGGTTTGAGCAAAGCCAAACCTTCCTGTTGCGGGGGGGGGGAAATCCACGATACCTCCAGCAATTGAAAGCGTTTCTGGAGTGGAAATAATAACGCCAAGGGAGAGGCTGCTTGCCATCCATCGATCGGGTCCGAACGCGTGGCAGGAGCGAGACGTCTCGGTCTCTGCGGACTCGTTGGGATGTTGGGCGACCTTGTTAGATGGCGTGGCCGAGCTTAAGCTGCTGCTGAGAGACCTAAACCCCACTTCTCCCACGCCGGGCGGTGTCAGGCCCCCCGAGGCGAGCCCGGAGCTCGCGGTGAGACGTACAAGTGGGAACGTGCTGCCTCCTCCTTCACCCCGTGCGTCTTAATCCGTGCTGGGGCTGTGCTCGGCATCACCCCGTCCCGCCTTCCGCCTCTTCCCTGGCTGCATCTTTTTTTGGACAAAACCGAAGGCAAAATGCTCCGGCCCCAGGACAGTCGTAGCCTGTAATTCGGTGCCGTTTGCTCTATGGCTTTAGATTTAATTCCGCAGCAACCTTAGCCTGTCTGGTGCAGGCTTCCCGAAGCCTCTGCGCTACGTGTGCGCGGCGAGGGAACAACTTCTATTTTTAAGTGCAAAACCAAAATAAAATAGATTAGAGAAGAGGAGCTCCCGTCATGGGCTCTGAGGGTGGGGAATACCCCCCAGTCCTGACAGGCTGGGGAGGGAGTGACGAGATCGGTAACCCCCTCCCCATCATTTGCAGGCAGAAATTTGGGGAGAACCCAGCTTGGGCCACTGGAACGGGTTGGTTTGGGGATGCGGGGGGACACCTGCAGCTCCCCGTGACCACTTGGTGAGCCCCGTGGTGGCATTCCTGCGCTCTAGGAAGCCACCGGGACCCCCCCAGAGCAGCCGATCTGGCCCGTGGGCCGACCCACCCCTGGTTTTACCCCATTGCCCCTGGTTTTACGCCCTCGGCCCTGGTGTTTAGGCCCTGGCAAACGCTGAATGGTGGCCCTGGGGACAGGGTTGCGCCGTCGCTCGGTCCCTGCTGCGCCGCCTTTTCCCCCGGTTATTCGGGGGTGCTTGGTCACGGAGATTTGCTGCCGATGCCTGAGTCAGCTCCGTAAAGCTCTACACCGGGCCTTGTCAGGCGCAGGATTAGCCGGGATGTGACGCTGTCAGCCCCGGGTGCGGGCACCCACCCCGGGGGGAGAGCGGGGGGGGCAGCCCTGCAGCTCTCCCACAGGCCTGTCCCACCCCAGCAGCTTGCTTCTGTTCCCCTTTTGGGGTCATTTCCAGCAAAATCACCATTATTTCTCAGCTTCCAGTTTCCTAAATCCCTCCCTGTGGTGGTACCACTGGTGTGGACTGGTCTGAGGTCCTGCTGCCTTGCTGTTCACCTGCCAGGCTGGGCTCGTGTTCCTGCCCTCGCTGGGCAGGTTTCGGCCTCAAACACTCTCTCCTCCTCCTCCTCCTCCTCCCGTGAAAGGACGTCATCCCGCCGGTCTGGTTTGTGCCTGGCTTCTGATTTTCACAGAATTCTGTGCCTGGGGAAGCCTGACCCTGCCGCTGCATCAACGCCGCGGCAGCTGAGACCGCCTCAGCTCATTGCACCTGCTGCGCCAGTGCTCCCAGCCCCGCTCGGCGTGGGGAGCCCCCCCTCGCCCCAGCTCCCGACCCTGCACCGGGAGTTCTCTGCGCCCCCACGGCCCCTGGAGCACTCGGGCTCCTGATTTCCCACCGATGGTGGCAAAATGGGGTCGGGTTTGGGGAGCCCGGACCTCGGTTTGTCTCCCGGCCATATCCACGCTCTTCCT